ATCAGAGATGAAACGACTGGGCTGTAGGTGAACCCTTTCTTGAGGGAAACACACATCATAACAATAGTTGAGGTAATTGGTAAGGTTCTCACAGATGACTGAAATATCAGGATCGAAGGGTTGTTGTATGTCCGTACCGGAAACCATGGATTTTAATTCCATCAAATTGGTCAGATGATTTTGTCGTAAACGTATCTTACGCGCATTGTTCTTCGTCAGGAATATTCGCTTGAATTTACCATAGATTTAATTAGTCGTGCAATACACTCCGCAACGAGAGTTGCTTATGGATTTGAAGCGGTATCCCGACCGAGGCATTGGATATCTGATGAGTCAGTAGCACTGATGTAGACAAAGTGTCAAGTCTCGACCCACCGGGATCAAGGCAGGGGTAGGTAGCGTCTACAGCGTCAACTCAAGAAGAATTTCAAAAAAGACCGTGAGAACTGGTGGGCACCGATAGCCAGTGAAATAGAAGTCACAGCTGCATCAGGGAATAGGCAGGCTGTTCCAACTGAAACACAATACGGGAGGTCAGCGAACCGCAGTTAGTGAAATAATTTGCGACAAAAGTGGACAAGCTATTCACAATATGGAACAATGGCTTAGACTCTTAGACTCCATTACTGATACTATGCGTAACATCTGGCCACACCAGCGCATTCCATCATCGTGGAGCGAATCACTGATTGTTCCTATTTTTAAGAAGGATCTCGCAAAGACTGCACAGACCACCGTGGAATAAGTTTGCTCCTAATCGTCATCAAGTTACTAGCCTTCATCATACATCAGCATCTGACATCGTTTAGGGAGACAAACATCCGCGAACAACAAGCAGGATTTCGACCAGGCCGCGGTTTTATCAACCAAATCTTCACTGTGCGTCAAGTCCTCGAGCTACGCCATACGCACCGTCGACCAACGGTTGTCGTGTTCCTTGACCTAAAAGGAGCCTCTGACCCAGTTGACCGCGAACCCCCTACGGGTTCGCTCCTTCGCAAAATAATGCCGCAGAAGTATGAGAACATACTGAGTATACTCTACTCATACTTCTGGTTGCGTAAGGGCTTACGGTGAGCTGACTAGGTCATTCGTAACTAGCATCGGTGTTCGTCAAGGGTGCTCTCTTTTTCCATTCCTGTTCAATTCCGTCATTGAAGAAATATTGGAGAAGATACTAAGTGGTCTCCAAAATGTAGGTATTAAATGGGCAGCTAGAAGAAAGCTGTGCGATTTGGAGTACGCTGACGACATCGTTTGCCTGTTCAAATCTATGTAGGATGCACAGAGCACTTGACAGATTAACAAATTCTGTCACTCCGTTCGGCATGTGCTTTACCTCTTCAAAGTGCAAAGTGATGCTACAAGACTGGGTGTCGCCGAGTTCCGTTCTGAAACTACACGGTCAGAAATTAGCTGTAGTTGACTGCTTCTCGTACTTAGGTAGCTGCGTGACAAACGACGTTGGCGCATCAAATGAGATTATTACCCCCATTTCCAAGACTCGAGCAGCATACGCAGGACTTAAACACCTGTGGCGGCGACGTGACGTTTCACTGAAATTGAAAAGTCGCCTATACAGCGCCACTGTACGATCAGTTCTGGTGTACGGTTGTGAGACCTTGAGCTTGCGGGTAGAAGACATCCGTCGTCTAACAGTTTTCGACAGTCGACGTCTAAGTAGTCTGGCGCAAGTGGGTAGGAGTGAGCGGGTCAGTAACTTAGAAGTTAATCGTGGGGCGTTTGGTAATACATCAGACGAGAACTCGTTATCGCATCGAATCCAGGCCTCGTTGGTTAGGACACGTTTTGCCTATGTCCGACGATCGCCTACCGTAGCGCTCCTCATTCGCAGTGACTGTTGCAGGTTGGAGAAAGCCAAGTGGAGGCCAGCAGATGACTTGGAAAAGAGGCATGAAGAAATGCACAGAGCGATTAGGTAGAGTAGGTGTCTCTTGTCTTCCGGGTTATGGTTCAAGACTCCGAAACCGCATGGTTGGAGACATTGAAGGCCATGACTGCGAACCGACAGCAATGACGAGCTTGCTGTCACTTCTTATCAGACCAGAATGCTTGAAATGGTATGTATGCACAGTTGGGCTGTGTACTGTGTGTTGACCATAGAGGTTCGCTTTCTTTTCCCGTCCCTAAAAATAGGACCAATCCCTGTCCTCCTTACACATTATCACTTACCTTATGTGCAACATGAGTTTGGCAGCAATCAGTGAAGTTCGCTTCACTGTAATACGCTGTAGAATGATGACAATGACATATTTTTGTTAAATTATCAGGTAAAATAATGGGGTTTCGTTAAATAGCTCAGTTGGGATTGTCCTGGCAACAGGTGATTTTTGAAGCAAGTCCAGCACAACTTTGAATCCATAATTTGTATTAATAACCTGAATGAAATAATGTGTTTGTTTAGCTATACACCACAATCAATAAACTATTTGGCTTGATTTGTTATTAATATTTCAAGAGATTAGAAAACTCCCACAATCTTCAGTAGATATATTCAGGTTATTAAAATTGCTTCTCCGGCGCCAAGCTACCAACCAAACATTTGTGACTAACAGTAGTATCACGTTCTGTGTTAGAAAACTTTGAGCGAAATCCTCTCTCCTCCCCCCTCAACCCACCCTACAAAGACCCACACAAAGTTCAAAACATTCGGGAGAAACAAGTAGCCCCAATAATTGCATAAAAATAAAACCAAATGTAGCGTTTTAGAATGTTAAACTGGCCTCCTCAACGTTACACTTCGCATTATGTGAGGTCATTTGTCCAATTACAAGGAATGTAACAGCCCAAATGAATTTGGCTATATCCGGTTCGTTGTTACGTCTTATATTTCTGAACAGGCAGAAAAAAGTGAACACTATCTGATATGCGTTTTCTGCGCGGGTGCTTTTCCACGAGGAATCGAAATGTCAGAAAAAAGTTTTTTAAAATAACGTTAACATTACATTGTGGGATAATGTTTCGCCTCCAGGATTTTTGTTTGGAAGCCAAAGTAAACATCCAAAATACACGTCCGATTTTATTGACCGCTGAGATTCAAAATTAATTTGTTTCGGCTTTTCAGGTCAGATACGTCATGTGACAGGTTTTACTTCCACCTCGCTGTGCAAACGTTTAATTTGTTTTGATTGAAGAACGGAATTGCCATGCAAATAACCCATTAGTAGCACTGCATGGGAAAATCAGATAACGATATCCATGGATTGATGTGGACACGCGTCTCAGTTGATGATCATCGGCCATTGTTCTGCCAAATCTATTGTTCCGGAGCTCAATCTGTTGACTGGCTCGATCTGGAAACAAATCGCCGCATTGTTCTCCTCCGTTTTAGCCAGTGTGGGAATTGGTTTCAATCAGGATAGTAACGGAGACAATAGACTTGCTAAGCAGCAGAGATCACAGTGACAACCCATGCACAGGGCCTGTTGCCCTCCAATTCATATGAATGAATTCCAAATAACTTATTGTAATAATCAATTTCATTGGGTTTTTCCGAGTTTTTTATGAGAACAAACGCGATCCATCAGTTAGGATATCACTTTGCAGAGTGGGGCAAAACACGTTTGGTCAGTCAGATGATTACAACGGATCATTCTTTGCGCCAATTTGCAGTCTCGCCTTGTTCACAAGTGAGTTTCATACGTGCACCATTTTCGAGCACGAATTCCAGTTTATTACAAACTCACTAGTAATTGCCAAAAAGATAAATGATAATAATAAGTTTCAACTAATCTACGCTAATCGAAATAGAGAGCGTCCGTATTAATCTCTGGTATTTCAGTGGGAAAAGGAAATGATGAACTGGAACTTTTTAAGCAGCTGTTTGAGTGGGTAATTTTTATTCAGTTCAAACTTAAACCGTACAAACACCAGANACACCAGATATTCTCATACGCGTAGTATCAGCAAGAACAGCAAGAGCAGACAAGCGCATGTTAGCGTTGGTTTCATGCTGAAGCAAGCACAGCCACAATAATTGGTAACGGTGTGTAGTTAGTGAATAATAGGCTCATTCTACCTGGTCCACGTCATTCACGGGGAGAAGAATGCTGGTTAGAGCATAAGTACTTTGCAAGCAGACAAGGGATTCTTAAAGACGTCACTACAAAGTTCACACTCTGAGACTTCAACAGAGTCTACACCAGTTTCAGTTTCACTTTCTTCAAAATGAGCCCATAGAGCATGGATAAAGTAAGTCAGTACTCGTTGCATGGTAAAGTGAACTGTCTCACACGGGGTGGAGGGAGACGCATGTTTCTCGAACCCTTATTCGTTATTCATAAGATGTATGGAATGCCACTTCACAAAAATTTGGAAAGCCATCAAAATACACCACAAGAACAATTTAAAGTTTACCAAAAAACCGAAGTGAGACAATAACCAACTGTTAGCGACCACTTGCCCTGTAGGCTAGTGCCAAGAAAACCTTCAAATGCATTTTTATTTTCACTTCATACACCTTTATAGTTCTGCTTCAATTTCCATTTACAACTAATCGAATTGGCTCCAGTGTCACTGAGTTGAAAATGTGCTTTTTTTAATCAGCACTTCACAATCTATAAAGTTTCCACTGTTCTCTATATTTTCGAACCTGAACATGATGCACTTCTACCTCACCGGCGATAACTTGGATCCAGTGAGTGAGTATACTTTTATTTGTTTCTGCCAGCGATCCTCGCGATGAAGCATCTTTACAAAGTAACCCGTATTCAAAATTCCCGGAACTTTTTCAACCTTAGCTTAGCATTACTCGGTACGTTAGTTTGGGAAGTAGCTCAGGAACTGTTTGCTGTGTGTAGTTCATGCATTGGTTATAAAACTCACATTGCTGCCTTAGTCGGTACGGCTCACCATTTCTTCCCTATCTGGGGATTACCGAAATTACATATGTTTCCATTCTTATACATATGGCAACTTGAGTTTGAAAAATTTAGTTCTAAAATCTAGCGATCAAATGCCACTGTGCATTGATGCTGGGATTACAACAACTTTGTTTCGGCTCTGTAAGGATCAGATGTTTTCCTATGAACTCAAAAACCTCAAATTTTTAATCAGTCCCATTATCAAATCCCTCATCCTATTGTCTAGTTCGACCTTTCTCTTGGGAGAGTCCATCTTGTTCACTCACCATGCCGAAAGATCGCTCCGCTCACCACGAAACAGCCTTGAGAGGCCTTAGATTATATATCTCCTCTGGTTGAGCCGAGGTGTTTGTATTCACGGTATCCCAACCCAGTTTCGTCAATTCCAAGCGCCAATCGATACCCCGACAGTGCATGAAGAAATTAATACCGTGATAAGCCGACAAAATCTCTCGCACACTATTAGATTTTTCTTTAAGGTCTGAAAAACCCACTCCTTCTGAGCATTTTACAAAAAGTTTAACTTTACACTGTTTTTATTCTCCTCACCCATTCAGATTAGGCCATGAAAGAGCTTATTACCGCGAGCGCACGCAAGACAGACAATGAGAGGGAGAGAGTTGAATAAAGATCAATGGCGACGGTGCGAAAGATAAGCAACATCATATCATCCTCTCGGTACAAGTAGACATCAAACACAATTCACAATAAAACACAAATAAACTAAAGTGCATTAAAGAACAGAAAGAGTCACTTTTGAATCCGTGAACACGGATCAAAATCGGATTACGGAAATGCACAGTTGTTAAATCGTCATTGATAATTGCGCCCCGCCTCATAATTCGGCTGTTATTTTCGAACAAGAATCGGTCGTTCTGCTGCAGTCTGACAGGCTTTATATTCAGTCTTCAGATTCTGGTTATGCAGTGGTGGAAACTTGTTCTGGGGATCCTTCGTTTTCTGCGTCTTTTTCTATGCGACTCTGTTCGGTCTGAATAGATAGTTTGTGGGTCGAAGGTACCGTGAGATAGGGTCCACTTGGGATTAAAGGAATGCTCTCCTTCTTGGCCAACGGAGAACCTTTTAATGAGACCGATCCCTGTGCTCCATAGCGCTCATTTACGGTGAGTGCACTTGGTTCTATTGTCATGGTTGGGTGATTTGTTCGATTACTTCTTTCACGAATATTCCAGAAACAACATGGAAGTATTCGACGAACTTCTTTCTTGAAGTTCTCATTCATCCAGGCATACAGGAACGGATTGTAAACCGCGCTGGACATAGCTATCAAATGACAAACCAGGAACATCAGGGTAAAATACTTCGAGTTATTGACTACCTTGGTCTGTCCTTCAGACAACACATCCATGGCAATCAGTAACGCGTTCAGGGGAATCCAACAAATCACAAATATGACGACCATAGCTATGAGTATGGTGTTTGTGCGTTTTTTGCGTCGTATCTCATTCTCATCCTGGAACCGGCTTTTTGTTCCCGTGCCAATTTTAGTGCGCAATCGCATACGTAGGATGAGACTGATTCGGAAGTAGCACACGGAGATTATGCTGCACGGGACCACAAATTGCAAGACAAAGCTGACAATCGTGAACACCTCCCGCGAGGACTCTTTCGGCCAGTTCTCCTGACAAGCCCATATGTTTCTACGTGAATCGTGATGCTTCTGATGGTAGACTGCCAGGGGCATAGAAATGAGTACAGCAATAATCCAAATTGTACCGATAATCACAAAACAGAGCCAAATACGCATACGGGGTAGGAAAGGATGGACAATGACGAAAAATCGATCCAAAGCAATGGCCATCGAGGTCAGAGTGGACACATAGACAGAAACACCCATTGTGATCGGGAGTAGCTTACATACAGCTTCGGGTAAAGTCCAACTTTGCATGTACAGGGAGACGGGTGTGAATGGGGTGGCAACAAGACACATGAGTATGTCCGACACGGCCAGATTGGCAATAAATAGGTTGGTAATGGTCTGTATGGATTTGGTTCTTGCAACAACCCATACGACAAGTAGGTTTCCCGCCAGGCCAACGAACGCAATCAGGGAATACATAAAAAGAATTAGGAATTTTACTGCAAACACATCTTTCGCGATATCACATGTCACGTTAGTCAAATTATTCAACGCAGCCTGAGAATCGCAGCTATCAGTTGCGGAGTTCCGATAGGCCATACAGCAGGACATCAGAACAGAGGCAATCAGTGAGAGGAATTGAAGACGTGCCATATTCTTTCGTATGAGCTTCTAACCAATGAGTGAGAAAGCTAAAAGTAAGATAAAATCAGTGAACGAACAATTAGTCCCGTACCAAGACGTATATTAAGTACATCACTAACCAGACATGAATAAAGCGGTAAGTAATTCGTTCAACCTGAAGACATCCCATAATATCAGACTTCTATCTTTGGCAAATTTTCATATAAGTGTCGCAAAACCAAACTTAAAGTTTCATTTTTCGCAAACATAAACATATTTAGTTTATTTTAACCTAGGAGATATTAAATCGCACAGGTCAGACACCAAACATGTATGCATTACTGATGACGTGTTTTGACATGAGCCAAATACCTACAAGGTTTTTTCTCAGCCTTCACATAAGATCAGTGGTAAACCTGCGTTCCTGCAACCTCTACGGGAACACATGTGCCCGATGATGTGGATAGGCTTCTGGGAAGGAACCGTAGAAATGTTTCTTCTTCTTTTAAGAAACAACCGGGTTGACAACATGTTTTCCTAAAAACACCTAAGCAACTGAACCATACTATGAAACTGTCCCGTTTAGGAATGGTAGATAGTGGACGTCTACCGAGTTCAAGAGGAGTTTGGAAGTTTTTCTGGGTAGAAAGCTCAAAGTCAGTTAAGCTTCTGCGACGTGAAGAGTGCAAAAGATTCTGAGTTTTAAGTTATTTTCGAGAGTCATGCAAACCTTTCTGAGTCTTTTATACGAGAGAGATGTTTACTCTCATTGATCCATAGTTCCTGAGACCCCATTTTGGGGACCTGACTAGCTAATCAAAGTGGAATTCATGCATCCTATTTGACATCTCGAAAATTGATAAGACGTCTTAATGTGATTGGCTTATCTCGCCTAGGTCGTGGAAGCGGAAAATTGTTGGAAATGGTTCATTTTAGGAAAAATAGGCATCATACCCAGTGCCAGTCTAGGTTATCTGGTTGATAGTCAGCCTGAGATGGATCAGTGGTATGAATTCTATTTAGAATGCAAATAAATTTGTTTTCCTAAATTCGGCTTCCGGTTTGTGTTCTTTGAGTCTGCGCAACAAACGCCTCGTCCTCGGACCTGCGTAACTAGCCGCACAGGTATAAGGTAATGAATAGGTAACTGCTGATGAGGTAAGGGCAAGAATTTTACCTTTTAGATTCTTGCATAGTAATAACATGTTGATGAAGGTTACCCGTAGAGTAGCGCCTGCATGACTGCAGGGAAGTGCCTTTTCTAGTCGACGTTTGAGTGTGTGGCTGCTAACATCATCTTTCTAGTTAATCCAAGGTAGCCTGAATGAAGAATCCTCTAGCACGACTGAATCAGTTCTTCACCCATTAGTATTCCCTAATCTAGGAGCGGAGATGGAGCCAATTTCAGCCCTTCATCTGTCTTTGCCCAGTATAAATAGACCAAAAGGTCAACAGGACCCGGATGAAATCATACCAAGCAACTTGTAGTGATTGGTGAACACTGAGCATTCTCCTCCAAACACATACACTGTACTATTATCTTTGCACGATTTCATNCCCCCCCCCCGTCCTCTTCAGAGTAGTGGCCTCCTAGGTAGTTAACATTTTCATCCTCAGTATCGGTAGGGTGCTCAAATATAAGATCTCTAGGTGCATGATAAGTGCTTACCTTTCGCCTTTTTAGTATTCAGGTAAATGCTGCATTGGTCAGATAAATGCGAGGCATACGAATCAATACAATGATTTCCCATTTCATTGCGGTTAAATTCATTCATCTCTTAAAGGTAGTTTAAAGAAACTCTGACAACCGTACATATACATGGCCATGTTTATTCTCTTCCGTGTTGAATATTTCACTGAAATCATCAGTTACCATAAAAAACTCATTATTAACTTATTAATATCGTAAATGAAACTCATACCTAAAGACGGCGGAATGAAAGTGGTCAGAGTCTAGGCTTAACATAAGAACAGTGGAGGGCTCAGCCCTGGCCGCGTTGGAATATCTCATGTGTGAGGTATCTCTAACTATACAGCTATATATTTCTATTCCTCCGAGAGATTTTTCTGTGTATCCGTCTTATTCGGTGAGCACAAATCAGAAAACTTGACAGAACGCATTGAGCATGATCAATTTTGTTGTTTTTCGATAATTATGGGAGAGCCAATCTTTTCAGCTCCGATACCATTCTATTTATCTCGTGTTGACAACACTTCAATTGCAGTCAAACAATGTGCAGGTGTGACTGACTGTTCGTTACCGTTGAGTGACCAGTCTGCAACCACTGAATTACTTCGTTCACTGAGAACATAAGAAACTGATTATCAGTAGCTTAAGAAAGATTACTCCTATATCAACTATGCGAATGATAATGACAAAGATAGCAACGATGACAGGCTATTTAAAGGTACCGGAACGTTTGATCGTGCACTGCTTCTTGAAAACAGAGTCCACTCACTACCGTGATTGCTATTCAGTCACCCTTGTGCCCGTTATTTCAGACTGTTGTGATTGAAACTATTCACTGTTATTCATGGCAAGGAAAGCTAAAGGCATTAATTAGATGCAGCTTCCACATAGACTTCACAGAGACCGTTTTTGGAATCACCTCATTAACAGCACAATGATTTGTACTTGGATGATCAGGTCACTCGATAAAAAGCTGTTTTCAACATAGAAATACGTTGAAACAAACCCGTGGAGAGACTGACTTCGGTGCCAACCATGATCAACAATGGTTTTGGTGATAATACTATCATCATTCAGATAACCTAAAGTGAATGATTCAAACCACGTTGGACGAACATAGTGACTGGTATGTCGCACACTTCATAACTGTCGCGTTTGAGAGATATTATCTCGTTGAAAACAGGTGAAACATCTAATTTATTAGTTTTACGTAGTTCAAGATCCCGGAATTCATTTTTCATTCATTTTTACTAAAACTTTATTTTCTTTTAGAGGCCATAGACATTTATTTAAGTACAAGACTCAGTACTTCACTAGTCTACGAGAGCGAATTTCCCCGCATTCCGAACTTAATGCTGGAAATAGCCTTTGTTGGATCACCCAGAATGCAAACACTATATGAGACTATGCTCCTCCTGTAACGGGCTGTAGGCGCCCATGGAAGTTTGTAGTTGACGTGTGTGTGATATCAAGGTGACAAGCTCGTCATGCAAAAATGTTTTATTCCACAACAATGCAAAGTGCAAACAGTCTTTAGTTTGAATCAGCCAATGCAGAGCAAATCAGAGCAAACAATGCACATGGAAAAAAACACTGGCAATATCAATGCTTTCAGTGTTAGCGGAACGATAAAACGTGGCTAATGAGATTTCAAGTCAGATTTCATCACAATCTGTGAACTCCAAAGGAAATAGTTTCTATTTATTCGAACCTGATGAAGCGAATCGATACGCGTTGGTCCAAAGAGCGGTATCATAAAGCAACAGCGATGGCAAAACTGGAATGCAGCATGCATGATTTGTGAATCATCGCTTCGCAGATGCACCCGTAAGAACGTTTGGTGATCTTTTATGCAAAAACTGACGAACAAGTCCAACATTTTTCTTTCTTTTTGTTTTCCTTTTATTTAACTGCACTTTTGTGTAAAACCCTGGAATCGGTTTGTCGAATGACTACTGTCTGAAGTAAAGAAACGAGGAATGTAGGACGCATTATTGACGTTCCAACGTACAATCAGCAGGACAAAGTTCTGATGGCCACACGATTTCCAATGAAGTGGTCCGCAGTTCTTTGGTTACTTGATTTGCCTTGAGGTAAACAGTAGGATAGGGAAGATTGTAAAAATCAAGTACCTCAAAATCCCGATGGAAACCTCAAAAAGTAAATTATCGCCATTCAGATAAATATATAATCAGATTTTTCTATTTTCGATTCCAAGTAAATTACTAATTAAATTTAATATCATACCTTTTTGTGGTCGTTGTTTTCATAAAGGTTTATATTGTTCTAATATTTTCTAATGCTAATGATTCACGGACGCTACCTTAAAATTCCATGTCTAGCAAAAAGTACAAATTCTGTCTCATTTGTTTTTCACTGCCATTTACTCAATGTTGCAATGTTTCAATCTTTGAGAATGTTTCTCATATATTAACCTCTTCGCATTTAACAACAAACAATTTTCATCAATTAATCAGTTTATTTCATCTCATTTTCTCTCAGAAAGCAGTATCAACCGTCCGAATTTCCAAAAGAATGAGACAATGGAAACTCTGATCTGTGATTCAATATCTGACTTAACATTGACACAACTCACTGGATTGACAATAAGCTTTCAATCTTAAATTGCTGCACAATACAATTTTGTTCTATTTTTTATTGTCAACATACGCGGCGATCATCACGTCAAATGTGACGAAAAATGTTGCATAACTAACAAAGTAACAGACCGACCGATAAACGTATTTCAGTGAGGCAATTTTCAGTGGCCAATTCAGCGGGTAAATGGGTTTTCCTTTTCTTTTATTTCTTTTTTTATTCAAATAACTTTACAGCTTATTTTCAGGAAGTTGGTTCATGACCAATCCCACGGCTGCCACATAGCACAAAGAAAACTCTGTAGACAGACTGTAGTGGCAAGATGCACACGCACAACATCGCGGCCGGTGTAGTGATGACCAACATCGCTTGACAGCCACCAGTAATTGCGATTTGGAATGCGATAGTCGGTACTTGAACGCACATAAAATATATTCATTTGAGAATAAAGCATTTGGGGACAAAACGTTTTGTACCTCTGGTCAGCTACTCTTTCTCAAATATGATATTTCATTAGTTACTCGCAATAGAACATCATTGTTTTTAGATTTTTTCCTGGAGAACCAAAGGATCAACTACTATCGTCTTAAGTTTCTGCCCGTTCAATTATTCTATATGGCTTGTTTTTCAAAATTCAGATTTAAGCCTGCGATAATCAAAACCAGGAACCGTGAAGGTTCGGAACCAACATTTGGACATTTTAATCTTGTACCGCTTTTAAATCACTCGAATCTTTGCTGCA